ATATATTTATTACAAAATAATAAGAATATTACGCAAGAAAAATACTTTTATATAGCAATCTTATTTACTACAGAAAATACAAAACCTATTGCTCATGTAAGTATTAATTATTAAATTAAATACTGTATATGAATGTTGTCTATAATTTCAATTTTGCTGTGCAGCTATAGATGTTCATGAATTAATTAGAAAAACTTGGGAATTTATAAATTTTCTACTGCTGAATAAATAAAAATTTTACCGTCTGCGATCAGCGCCATCTATGATTTGGGCTCAAAAATCAAGACAGTAATAGGAATATTGAATAGGTAAGGAGGTCGTCGAAGAGCTCGTCACGTGGTAGACAAGGACAGAGAGGGGATAGAAAAGGATAAAATGGCTCCGGCAGTGAAAAATTATTAATTACTCAATTTCCGTACACAATTTATATAATATCGTACACAACTTTTATAATATCATTACAAAGCTGGAACTTCAGACTGCATTCCTATATAATTTTCGTAAAGAATTTAGCTCTAAATTGTTAGTTATTAATTTTTATTTGATGGCGTCTATAATTTCGTAAAAGCGACCATCACGATCTTCCGTGAAAATATTTAATACTCAACGAAACTAGAGGCAAAATGTGATCAAAAGTTATATGAGAAGATTCACAAGGACATAGTTTTTATAATGAGTGCTTAAAGTTTCATAAATTAATTGCGTAAGGGATAGTAATTAATGAAAAACCAATGGCGTCTTCGACAACAATTCAAACACTGCACAGAATAATTATTAATAATTAATTAATTAGGGGCAAATTTCTATCGAAAAATATATTGGAAAGTTCGTGAAGGATCTGGATTTATGATGTAATTATAAAAGTTCATAAATTAATCACAGATTTTAATAAATCGAATCGGCTGTGGAAAATTCACTAATTACTCAATATCTGTGATTAATTTATGAACTTTTATAATTGCATCATAAAGCCAGATCCTCCACGAATTTTTCAATATATTTTTTGATAGAAATTTGTCCCTAATTAATTAATTATTAATTATTATTCTACGGAGTATTTGAATTGTTGTCGAAGACGCCATTGCTTTTTCATTAATTACTATCCTTTACACATTTAATTTATGAAACTTTATGCACTCATTATAAAAACAATGTTCTTGCGAATGTTCTCATATAACTTTTGATCGCATTTTGCTTCTAGTTTCGTTTAGTATTAAATATTTTCACGGAAGATCGTGATGGCCGCCGTTACGAAATCATAGACGCTATCAAATAAAAATTAATAACTAACAATTTAGAGTTAAATTCTTTACGAAAATGATATAAGAATGTAGCCTAGAGTTCGAGCTTTGCAATAAAACTATAAAAGTTCATAAACTAATTACAGAAATTGAGTAATTAATTAATTTTACACTGTCGAAGCCATTCTATCCTTTTCTATCCCCTCTCTGTCCTTGTTTGCCACGTGGCGAGTTCTTCAACGACCTCCTTGCCTATTCTATATTCCTACTACTTTCTTGACTTTTGAGACCAAATCATAGATGGCGCTGATCGCTGGCGGTAAAACTTTTATTCGAACTGGATACTAGAAATCAATTGGACAGTAGAAAATTAATAAAGTGCCAAGTTTTTGTAATTAATTCATGAACAGTTATAGCTGCAGAGCAAAGCTGGAATTATAGGCAACATTCTTATACGATGTTTAATTTAATAATTAATACTTACATGAGCAATAGGTTTTGTATTTCCTGTAGTAAATAAGATTGCTATAGAAAAGTATTTTTCTTGCATAATATTCTTATTATTTTGTAATAAATATATACTAGCATAACAAAGCGTAAAAAATAATTTTTTTTAATAAGAAATTTTAATTACACTCGTTTATATACAATGAAAAATGAATACAAAATAAAAAATATATTGAAAAAACTATCAAACCTATAGGGACAGGAATCGAATGCCGGTCCTCCACTATATCAATTCTCGATCGTCCCAGTTTCGCTACAACTTAACTTGAAACAAATTGGAAATAAATTTATAATTAACAAAGTAATAAAACTTTAATCGCAAATATCTCAAAAACTATTGAGTAGCTGCGGCTATAATGATATATTTTCTTAAACTACATGATGATATCTACAAAGCTGCAAAGTTTCAACTAAATCGAAGGACTTGCACTCTCCTTCTAACTAATTAAGCTAAGTAAAGAAAGGAACGCAAGTAAGGGAAGGTATGTAAGGACGGTAAGTATAAGGTAAGTATAAGGTAAGTATAAGGTAAGTAAAATAATAAAAATCTACTGCGAAGCAGAAAAAGTATTGTCCAGCGAATTCTTGGAAATGTCGTAATTTCTTGGAATTGATAGGCGAGCAACCTCCTGTCATATTATGTTCTCCAGATAAAAAGTCGCAAAATCAGCCGAAAATTTTACGGCGAGGCTGCAAAAGTATTGTCGGAGATTTCATGGAAATGACGTCATTTCTCGGAACTGTCTCGGCGAGCAACCTCCTTTCACGTCATGTTATCCTGATACAAAGTCATGAAATCGGGCGAAAATTTGACGGCAAGGCTGCAAAAGTATTGTCCGAGATTTCTTGGAAATGACGTCATTTCTCGGAACTGTCTCGGCGAGCGACCTCTTTTCACGTCATGTTATCCTGATATAAAGTCATGAAATCGGGCGAAAATTTGACGGCGAGGCTGCAAAAGTATGGTCCGAGATTTCTTGGAAATGACGTCATTTCTCGGAACTGTCTCGGCCAGCGACCTCCTTTCATATCATGTTATCCTGATACAAAATCGCGAAGGGGGTCGAAAGTTTTACGGCGAGGCTGCAAAAGTATTGTCCACCATGGCGGAAAAAGTATTGTCCAGGGCCAGCAAAAGTATTGTCCAGGGCCAGCAAAAGTATTGTCCAGGGCCAGCAAAAGTATTGTCCAGCAACGGCAAAAGTAATGTCCGAGAATAAACGGCAAAAGTATTGACCGAGAATAAACGGCAAAAGTATTGTCCGAGAATTCTTGGAAATGACGTCATTTCTCGGAAATGTCTCGGCGAGCGACCTCCTTTCACGTCATGTTATCCTGATACAAAGTCATGAAATCGGGCGAAAATTTTACGGCGAGGCTGCAAAAGTACTGTTCGGGAATTCTTGGAAATGACGTCATTTCTTGGAATTGTCTCGTCGAGCAACCTCCTATCATGGCATGTTATCCTGATACAAAGTTGTAAAATCGAGCGAAAATTTTACGGCAAAACGGCAAAAGTATTATCCGAAAATTCTTGGAAATGCCGTCATTTCTTGGAACTGTCTCGGCGAGCGACCTCCTTGCATATCATGTTATCCTGATACAAAATCGCAAAACCGGATACGAAATTTAAGAAGCAGCGGTAAGCGCCACCTATAACTTTACACTGGAAGCTTGTGTTTCAGTTGAAAATCATAGATGGCGCCTACCGCTGTTTCTTAAATTTTCATTTGGCATTAGAAAATTAATAAATTACACAATTTCTACAATTAATTTATGAACTTTTATACTTGTATCGTAAAGACGAATCCTTTATTAACTCTCTAACATATTTTTGGATATTAATTTCTTCCCAATTAAATAACTACGAGTAAATTATTCCCCGATATGTTATTAATTACTGTTTCCTATGCAATTAATTTATGAATTACGTGCACACATTATAAAAGCAATATCTTTGGGAATGTTCTCATAGAATTTTTTTCGTATTTTACTTCTAATTTTGTTCATAATTAATTATTTCGACGAACAATCGGGTCGAACTTTGTTATCAAATCCCGTACGCCGTTAAGTAATAATAACAAATTAATTAGCATCAAATTACGTGCAAAAATTGGATAAGAATGTTGAGTAAATATCCAGCTTTGCGATGCGTCTATAAAAGTTCACAAATTAATCGCAGGAATTGATTTATTTATTAATTTTCACTGCCTAAGCTACTCGGTCCTTTTCTAACCATTGTCTGTCATCGTCTAAGGTGTCATGGTGGTTTTAAACTACCTCCTTGCACTGTCTGTGTTCCTGTTACCTAATCCGAGCTTCGGGTCCAATATAATAGATGACGTTGATCGAAGTCGCTTAAAATATTATTGATTTTATTTAAATATATTACTAACTCTAGTTATGTGCTCCTGATACATCCTAAATTTCTAGCCAATTCTGCGATTTTATGACCATAATTATAATCTTTTACGCTTTTTGTTCATCAAAGTTTAAAACAGAAAACAGTGGAAATAAAAATATTTTGTCGTATTTATATATATCATGAAAATTTATTCTACGAATGCAGTTTTGGTTTATAAAAAATATATAAATTATTAAATTTACTATTAATAACAAATTAAAATTATAACAAATTGTTTGGAGCATAAATTTAGAATAAAAACGAAAAGATTAACAAATGTTTGACTATTATAGAAGAGCAATAATTAATAAAATCGGTAACGATCGTAATCTTCCATCGATCTTCGATCCATTGTCGACTATATATTACAGACATCGTTTAAATCGTTTAGAATCTTCTTTGCAGATTTCTTCTCTTATTTACTTCGTATTAATTTATATTTTCTTACAATGCTTCGTTTTAGCCAAAAATCGTGTCTTTTCAGAACTCAGATTTTTAGAAAACTGAGGGTGCTGGAGCAATTTCGATCATAGATTTGTTTTCAGGGAAGTGAACTCTACAAGAATTTACCCATTGGATATTTATTACAGATTAAAACTCGCGATGGACAGTGTTATCGGTCATTTTGAAAAGAATAATAAATACCTTCCAGTCTGATTTAAAATAATTCTACTATTCGGAGATAAGATGTTAGGTGGTAAGATTTTTGTCATTTTTATAGAAGACGAGGATTCGTGTTAGGATGACATAGGGCTTCTAGGGAAATCGGAGGTTGGCGGCGATCTGTGGGAAAATGTAATTAACAGGTGGAAATTGATTATTAATAGATAGGTTGATAGACTAATTACCGAAAGCTTCGAGGATGGTGTTCGCCTCAAGAATTTGTTGTTCCACCCACGTGTCGACATTGCTGGTCACCGAGCAAAGGTACTGCAGGATAAATTTCGTGGTCTCCGTCTTGCCAGCGCCACTTTCCCCTGATATCACGCAGGACTGATTACTCTCTGTGTCCTGAAGAGACCTGTATGCTGCCTCTGCCAACGCGAACACGTGAGGTTCCAAAGAGCCCATCTTTTGTCCATGATATCGGTTCACGTACTCCTATAAATTGAATAAAACAATCATTTTACTACATAAATACCTTTTATGGTAGAAAATTATTTTCTTGGTAAAGAAAAATTAAATTAAAATATATAAATATCAAAATAGCTTCCTATTATTTACAATCTTCGACTGAATTGCTTAAGAGGGCAGATCAGTATGACATAACCTCTATAACCGTGTTTAAAAATTCATAGGAAATTATTAGAAGAAGGTAGCCCTGTAAATTTTTCACAGACTTTGCTTTCAACCTTGAACTACTTAGAAAAAAATTGGGATAAAAATATAACGACAGAAATGTCTGAAAAAAATTTTGAATCAAAAATCTGCAAAATCATGTAAACAATTATACGATGAAATTTGTAATATTAACAATTTTTTTTCAATGAAATTCTATGTATTAGCAGTAAATGAAATTTGTATTAAAAAGCGGTTTTTATTTAGAGTATAGTACTGTTGATTATATTTACACAGACTCCGAAAGTATCTGGATACTATTTTTAGTTTGCCAATACTATTTCGGTGGTTGAAGGAGTTTGGGATCCTAGCTGGTCAAAGATAGCGAGGATGACGTATGAAGACAACTCTATTTCCGGTCCAAAGGAACTTTGCTTCACTTGTCAATATACTATCTACCTGAGCTTAAAATCTACGTGTCGTATCAACAGTTGAATGATGTATATGTAGCAACCAACGAACAAGCTAGAACTTATGGCAATGAACATCGTTGGTAGGTTAAAGATTTAAGTTGGTAATTATACTATAGTCAATACTTCATAATTTCTTTCTGAAACATAACGAATGAAAACTTGATAGGTTATAGATTTAAGTTGGTAATTATACTATAGTCAATACTTTATAATTTCTTTCTGAACCATAACGAATGAAAACTTAATAGGTTATAGATTTAAGTTGGTAATTATACTACAGTCAATACTTCATAATTTTTTCTGAAACATAACGAACGAAAATTTATTAGATAAATATTGGAAAATCTCTTATTCGTTAAATAAAAAGAAACAAATATTGAAAAATGTAGAACAGTAATAGAATAAATTAAATAGGAACTATAAACGATAGATGTCACCATTATCTCATGTATGGCGCTGTGATCGATAATTACCCATCGATACTAACCATACATTCATTCTGAATCGTGCCTCTAAAGTGAAAGGGTCGTATATCCTGCATAAGGTGAATTATCCTGCATACAAAAATTAATCCAAATATTCGAGTGTGCAACCAAAGCAATCCAATCCATTCATTTGTTTGTACATGTACAATTTATATTGAGAAACATTTATAATATATTATTTGTCTAATTCATTCAAAAAGTACGCGTCATTTCTTGACTTTATTAACCTTATTCCAAGAAAGTCTCTTATTCGTTACTTCTTAACGAAAATTTACTAATTTCTTAGTAATAAATAAATGTTATTTATATCGTGGTTGTTACGTTTGTAATTATTACATATTCTCACCTTTTTCTCGGTATTAAATGTTAATTATTGTGGTTCTTTTTGATATCAAAGGAGACAGCGTTGTGATTTACAGAACAAAATTTACTTTCACAGAATGCTTTTAAAACGACTTACACATCGTAACACTCGGGACACACTGGCGGCTAAAGCCAAAGCAACACGCTTAATATACAAATATAAAAGAAGGACATCACTCGGTAATAATACAAACTAATTCTGAGGTCGATAATTACCATCGGGATTACTATATTATCAACATTAAATGTTCCAAAAATTATAATACAAATTATTCCGGCTGCGACGAATATTCTGACATAACCTTTTCTACGATATAATTCATTAGCATTAATTACCGGTTCGATGCATCGGACGCGACAAACAGATTCCAATGATCCAATGGATAGTTCGAATTAGCAAACCTAATAAAAGAAGGACATCACGCGGTGGTAATACAAACTAATTCTAAGGTCGATAATTACCATAGGGATTACTATATTATCAACATTAAATGCCTCAAAAATTGTAATACAAATTATTCCAGCTGCGACGAACGTTCTAACATAACCTTTTCTGCGATATAATTCATTAGCATTAATTACCGGTTCGATGCATCGGACGCGACAAACAGATTCCGATGATCCAGTGGAAGGTTCGAATTAACAGTGGTAGGTGGGCTCGGCGACCCTGCTAACCCGATTAATTGCAAACGTCATTTGATAGGACATTCCACGACCGAGTTCCATTCGGCCCCTTTCATTTACTGATTCCTTTGGGAGATCGCATCACGGCTCTAAAAGGTACGTACATAGTTCGATTTCAAACGAGTCGCAGATTAATGCCTCGTGTTTATGTTGTCCATAAAATATTACTTACTGCCCGCGCAATCTACTTTGCGTAATGCTTCAACTAGGTTATTTCTAGAAAGAAACCTTTGCCTAAGTTAAAAATAAACATAAAGGAAAATAATTCCTCTATCGCAATAAAAATCGAAAATAAAAGAAAGGTATCCGATTTTCTTACGTTAATTTCGTATTCACGGTGAAAGTTCGATTAACAAGAAAGTTATGGCACACGCATTAATCGAAACACTGTAAGTTGTAGAATTTTTTAACAAGGAAACTTCCCTCGTTAGACGCCTTTCGATTCGACCTGTGCACCCATGCATTATGCACATTGCACCTTAGCCGGTCCCGCGGTTGCAGCCAGTCTCGAACGAAGTAGTGCAACCCAGTTTCATGTCAGACACGTCCTCTGCGCAGCTGCGAGCGCAGAGAGCGTTAATCCACTAACCCTCGCGGCTCGTGAAAATTCATCGAAACGCTTGATCCATTTCCATGAAACCGCCGACGAGGACACTCGGTGTGTGCCGCCACTGCATATGTACACACGTATACCGCGTGTATACACCTTAACGAAAGGCCGAGTTTACAACGCTTTAACGATTCCATCTAGATTCGAGCGTTACGGGGATCCCTGATTTGCTTTATCTTTCCGCCGCAAGAGGGAGAACGCGTCGAGATTTCGGCTGCACTGTCGCACAAAGATGCTCGAGAGAACGTAGGCCACGTGAAAGGAGGAAAAGAAATTACTGTGCAAGCACGAGCGTATATTGGAGGAGATTTACACGACACAGAGAACTAATAGGTTATTCCGTAATAAATATTAAATAAAGGTTATTCCATAATAAGGTTATTCTATAAATATTCCGTAATAAATATTAAATAAAGGTTATCCCGTAAATACTGATCTTAAAGAAAACACGCTAAGATGAAAATTACGTTATTCTATAATTGCATTATAATTTTTCTTGATATATTTGAATGGTTTAAGTCTACTATTTTTCGTTCGTGTATTATTTTTTTCTTTTTTTTTTGCTTTTCATAGAGATTACAAGATATAGAGAAAAATCGAACAAATATATTGGTTTGCTCACGTGCTACTCTCTCCCTATGCATATGTACAACTCCTTGTTATTAAGTCTATGGCAAAGTACTCGAAAATACGCCATCTGTTATTTGAGTTGCAGAGATCGGTAAGGGACCTCTATAGAAACGACACGAAATACCAAGGAATGAAATTTGGTGGATTTCTAATTTGTAATTATTGTTGTCAGAGTTATGTTATAATTAAATATTTACTTGTATTATATTATAACTTGTTTTCCTTTCTTCCGAGTACGCCTAGCGTAAGCAGAGAAAACTATTTTGAGGACATCTTATCAGCTATATCCGAAAGGAATTATCTCCAGGCATGTTTACACAAAAGATAAACTTACATCGCGACCATAAGTTCTTGAGAAAATAAATGGCCTCTGTGTAAAAATAGCGGAGTGCAGCGTATTCCAGGTGGCTGTCATACGGAAGTTCCATAAACGTATCTTGTCTATTTCCTTCAGGAATACATCTGGGGATGCGTGAACACACGGATTTTCGCCCTGTTCCATACTTTCTTATCCGCCATTGTTTTGCTTTTCACGAACCTCAATTTCCAGCGACTCGCTGTTATTGAAACGATGTTTGAACAGCTCTTACCAGGCTATCTAACTTTTATTGCGAGATTGCCGGCCTGGTAGGAACATCTGCTGCCCAAAATGAGATTTTTGAAATACGACCACCATCCATCAGTTTCCAAACCCGAGGAATATTTTATCAGGCAACCGGGATACCTGCGTGCAACTCGTCCTAACAGCCTAGGTACTTCAGAGTAGCACGATCCTATACACGAATAACGAGGTAAAAATTTCCATTCGTATCTTCTTTATTAGTTATGCAGCTCTATTTTTATCATTCTCCGCATCGCTTAAAGTCACACTTTAAATTTTCAACGAATTCTTGGCCCTTTGTGGAGCGAAACAAAATGACTTCTCCTCGCTTCTACACAATGGTCAGAAAGGAAAGTAGCGAAGAAAAGCGCGGAAAACGAGCCAGCTATGCGCATCGTGAATGTTTTGACTCGAAGAGAGTACGGGGGAGCGAAGAACTCGTGTCCCCGTTTATTCCTGCAGCTGCGACTGCAAAATCAGCGCACGGTTCGTCGACTAGAGGCCACAGCTCGTGTCAGGACACCGGCACCGGGGTCGTGCTTACGACCCCTCTTCTTCGCCGGTGTCGTTGCCCGACCGTGCGGGCAAAGACGAACGGAAAAACGAGGTTACGTCGAAGCGAGGGTAGAGACAGGACTGTTTTCCACGGCTCATTCCTTTATCGACTCGTTCAGCGCTAATTAACCCATTTGCATCGACGCGCGGAATATTCCGCGAAACACGACTGTCGTCTATCACCGAGCGCGGAATATTCCGCGAGCTACGACTGTCGCCTATCACCGAGCGCGGAATATTCCGCGAGCTACGACTGTCGCCTATCACCGCGCGCGGAATAATCCGCGAGCCACGACAATCGCCAACTAACTAGTTGCTGAATATTCTTCATATGCCACAGATCACGTTTCATCCCTTTTGTAAGCATCTTGTCTACGCCGGTTCATTATATTCTTAGCAAGTTTTACTTTTGTCGTAAAAAT